TATAATATTATAGGACCTGTAATATAATATAATATAAATAATTAACAAAGCAATATTGTTATAATTATTATTATTATTATTTATTATATATTATTATAATTATGTACCTAAACTAACCTTTTTATACTAATACATTAATTATACAATCAAGTTATAGTATAACATAATATAATATTTTTAATATTTTTTCATGACACGCTCTATAAAAAAGAAAAAGGTAATTTTGAGCACGCAGCTAAAGGTTTGCCATCCCTGCTATATAACAACATCCGTGCGAGCCAAACGTTCTACGACCGGTCTATGTCGACCATAGATATTAAACATAGTTTATATCTATGATGTCGACGGCTACTGAACTACTAGAGTACTCTAGTGTTCACGGTCGACCCGTACGGCCACCCATCTTATCGCTTACCGAGATAAACGGTACTGCTAACTGCGGTCGCGGTTATTGCACATAATTTATACATTGCACTCGTTCCGGTGGTCAGAAAGCGTTTTTTAGGTTATGAAAACCCGTATTCTCTGTCTCATCCGGAACAAAAATATTACGACTATTTACTGATTAGTGGCAATACAATTGTTTAAGTTTTTCAATTTTTTTTCTAATTTTTTTTTTCACATTCCTTTATCGCGTTTATGTTTTCGAAATATTATTATGAACTTTGATACATGTGTCTTTTTCCACGCAAAACACCTTCGCTTTACCTCCTCATCGTCTCAATAGATTCTTTCGTCGCGTAGACATTTTTCTTTTACGTCGGTGTTACAATTTAGTTTGCAAACAAAATAACATGGACAGCGCAATAGCGGTCCCACAACTAGATCAGTTTGTTTTGACCGTCAGAAACCTGGGTGAGTACATCACATTACTCCTCCAGTTTACTTCTAATGTTCCGTTTGATTGCCTCCAATGTATCTCCAAATATTGTGACTCACTAACAGTACATGCCTACTACTCTTAATCATTCACTTGTTGATTCGTTCAACAAACAAACACAATCAGTTTTTATTGTTCATTTATTTAAAATTTATGATTTGACGGGTTATTTCATTAATTTATTATGTACTGCTCTGAACTGTATAACGCTCATAAAGCATAATGTATAATTAACATGCACTATTTATTAGGTTTACAAACTACTGATGTATTAGTTTATTGTATACCATACAATAAGTATATGCTTTACTTTTATATTTATGTCTGTTTACTACCTGAGGGAATGGTGATTAAAACATAAGCTGATAAATCAAGTTCATTATTTATAAGAGACAATAGTTTAGTTTGTTTAAATTGTGTATGCAAATAATTAGGTCTGTTTAATTTCCATCAAATGCTTCATCAGTAAAATTTTATTTGTTTACAAATAATACTTGTTATCAGTCACAACATTGAATAATACGCACTACACCAATTCTTTATTTATATTACTTGTATTAATTTTCAAATTTATTTAAAAACAATAATTTAAAACAATTGACCATTTAAACATTTATTATTATATTGTAGCTAGTGACAGTCAAGAACTAGCTGAGTATCTTGCAAAGCAATCAGAAACACTGCACAAGTATGTTTCTAATTTAGACAGTGTTCTTGAAGCACTTGATATTCATGAAAATTCAATCACAGTCCTTACTGTATTGGGCGTTAAAGCTACTGCACAAAAACCTGCTGATATACCAGGAGTTCAGTATCATACAGCAATAGCAACACAGATTAATGACTTTGTTACTACTGTCAGTGCTGAAGAACTAAGAATTTTATCCGACCCATGTAAGTTAATCACTCAATATGTTTGAAGATAGTTGTATTACTAAATTAAATCTTGTTTTTTAGTGGCCAATGTGATGAAATCTATGTTGACTAACCTCGGAGAAGTGGAGAAACCTATGTTTGCTATTCCGATTATAAGGCGTGCTATTTGTAAATTGCAGGAGAAACCATATCAATTAACTCAACTCCATTGTCTTTTGTGTCAAGCTTGTTTGATGTCGAATAATCTTAAGCCTGCATTAAGTATCCTTGATCAGGAAATATATGTATTAGGAACTGAATCAGTAAGTTTAATATTTATTTTTAATATTGCAGTTAACTTATACTATCACTTGCTTAGCATGTTAAATGGTTAATTAAATTATACTCTATAATTTTTTAATTCATTTATCTATTTTCAAATTTTAGTAATTTATCATGTTTAAGATTGTTTTACCTTTTTTTAATTGTAATGCTTTTCATTTTTACTTTAGTGTTTTTCCCCTTTTGTTACAATTTTAAGTTTTACTAAGCTATATAAATTTATTATTTCTGAAATTATACGGACCATAAGTAGTCATTTTTTCAATTTTTAATTACCATTAAAATAATTGAAATTATTGATGTAATTTTTCTTTCCAGCCTGGAGTTGTATTTGATCCAAAATTCTTTTTAAGTTATTACTATTTGGGTGGTGTTATCTACACAGCAATGAAAAATTATTCAAGAGCAATAACATTTTTTGAAATTGCTCTAACAACTTTACTTCCTGTGATGTCTCAAATCATGGTGGAATCTTACAAAAAATATGTTTTGGTCTCAATTATACATTTAGGAACCGTACCTTCACTTCCAAAATTATCACCGCCCCTTATTGAAAGAGTGCTCAAACCTGTGTGTCAAGCTTACTTGGATATAATACCAGCTTATCAAAGTGGTGATCCTAGTGAGTTACAAAGGACAATCACTAAGTACCATGATGTTTATCAAAGGTTTGTTTACATTTTGTAAGTTTTTATTCATAAAAGTTAATTGTTATTATTTATAAATAAATTAGAGACAAGAATAAAGGTTTAGTCAAACAAGTTGTCAAAGCACTTCACAGAAAAAATATACTTAAATTGACCAATACCTTTTTGAATATGTCAATTTCTGATTTAGCACAAAGAGTTAATCTTCCTAGCACAGCAGAAGCAGAAGAACATTTAATAGCTATGGTAATATTTCAGTAATATTTTGAAGTAAATGATAGTTATGGTTTTTAATTTTAGATTGAAGCTGGTGAAATATACGGCAAGATAAATCGTAAAGAAGGTACAATCATGTTTAATGATCCACCCAAGAAATTTGATGACCCGAATATTCTAAAAAAAATTCTAGATGAAGTAAGTTCATATATGTGCAATGGTGTGTTGAACTCCTTTTATGTAAGGAGCAAAGATTTTTACAAACCACATATCAACCAGTTTTTTAAAAACCCCTATGTACCAATACCGCTCGCTTCGGTAGGCATTGTCACTATAAAAAACATATTGAAATGATGTTTTGATTAATGTTACTGATGTAATCGGTATATATAAATAAATTTAATATGCTTAATAATAATGAAAAGCTTCATTGTAATACTAGTAATGCTACAGCTACATGCATACTTAATTTTATCAAGTCCCATAATTTTTTAACATTAATTAAAATAAACTATTGGCTAAATAAAACTTTATTTTTTAAACACCTGGTAATTATATATTATAGGTAACGTATAAGTGTATAAACAACATACTAAACGTATTACGTAGTAATATTTAAGTATTTTTTTTAGTAATAATTATTATGTATTACACTACTAAATATTATATATTACCTTTATATTATTATACTATTCTGTGTTGTGATATTTAGATATTATGTAGTCTATTGATGTTTGACGATTACAAATTAACAATTTTATTCATTGTGTAAGCAAAAGAGTACCTACCTAATTATTAACTACCCACTCCCAAAATATTGATAGAGCGGCCGATCCTTAAAAATATTGTCAACACGCCACTGTATATCTGTATATATATAAATTTAAAATTATGTTTTGTTAAAATTTTATAATTTTCCAGATTACAAGTAAAATATCATTTAGCAGTACTGTACGAATGATGGATGAAGATATCTTAGTAAATCCAACATTTGTTAAAAAGATAAGTAGTGAAGATGATGGATTATCAATAGGACAAGGTTCATCTAAGAGTTATCAAACATGAACAGTAATTATTAACAAGAAATTTAATATGTCTCGTCCAAAGTAAATTATTAGCACATTACCATGTGCATATTGTAAATTAGAATGTACTTTGAGCAATCTGTAATATATATTTTGTAGTGAAATTTCCAAGTAAAACTATTTATTTATGTAATTTTGGATTTCTACTTTATAGTACTGCTATCATAAAAATCTACGAACAATATTTGTATTTTGCATACAAACTTCATAAAATGATATGAAAGACCAAAGCATTTTCAATAATCAACTCTTTTACCATTGTGAATTACGACTTTAAATAATATTTTGATTTAATTGCTCTTAATAATATTACACAACTTATGTTGTAAGTAATATTTACTTCTTAAAAAATATTTTAAGTATTCTTTACTGCTTTATTTTTAACTATTACTATTAAAATTCTTTATTTTATCAAATGTCAAATAAAAAGTTTAATTCCTACATACAATTATTATAAATATATACTATATTTTATAAATAGAAATTTTGTATATAATTTTAGATTACTAACTTGTATGAAACGTAACATAATTGTTAGTTAAATTGTTGTATACAGGGTCATTCAAAATACATGTGTTATTAATCACTTAAGATTTATTATAATTATTTGGCATTTTTTAGTTTATACAATTTTAAGTCATTAGTTATACCCTATACATCAACATTTTATTTAATGAATAAATAGCTTAATATTTTTTAATTAAAAACAAGTAAAAATGCAGGTTTGTCATACTTATAATATTTATTTTAAATTATGTACTCATTGTTTATGTATAATAAACAGTAGTAAACTCAGTTTATATTTAACACATTTTTTATATATATATTGAATAACCTAATGAGTATGATTTATTTTTTAATTCTAGTATTTATTGCCTTTTTTTCATACCTACTAATAATAAATTTGATTTAGAATATAATGCATATATTAACTAGTATACATTTCACTATATCTTAATATAGTTATGTTTGATAAAAAAAATATGCACAACATTTCAATCTAAATAAAATTTTACTTTGTAAATTCTTAATTCATATTATAATTCATACCTTTAATTAAAAAACAAATATTATCTTTGTAATAATTTTATTAAAATTAAAATTCTATTTCCCTTTCTTTTTTTTTTTTACTAAAATATAGTTGCTAAAGTGGCAATGTAATATATAAATTACAAATATAAATATTTAACAAAAATAGAAACAAAAATTCTAAATAAATTTTATTTATCATTATATTTTTTCAGAGTATAAGTTATATAATATAAAACTATTAGCATTATATTACTTTAAAACGAAAAAACTTATTATTATAATTTACAGTCGATTATTTTATACAGAGCTAAAGATAATTTATACTTCAGTGATGTGATAGAATATTGATAAAACTATTTATTTTCATAAAATATAATTGGAAAACAAATATCAATCATATTTTTATGAATGAAAGCATTTTTATTATTTATTTATAAGCTTAAGTTAAAAAACAGTGATGTAATAACAAAACTTACTAATTAGATAGTGATGTATTGATTGGTTACTAGTATTCAAATGGTTCATAATGCAAATATTTAGATATTGATTAATAGGCTCATATTTTCATAAAAAATGTGGAGGAGCGTTCACGTGATAATTGTCTGTTTCCACCTCCCATGTACCGGCTGGCATATAACAACGTTTACAAGAACTCAACACTACATCTGAAATAACAACATTTCAATGGCCTATTAAAAATGATACATGTTATTGCCGCCGATATGTTGATAACAAAATAATTATTATCAAACCATGTACACTTCAATAATATGCATACCTGCAGCGTGCTCGTATGGCTGACACAACAACAGTGGCGTAGCTTGGGTATTGGCTGCCCGGGGCGGTAGAAAATTTGGCCGCCCTCTTAATTAGGTATTTCAATTTAATTTATACTATACATTATGTACATTAATTCTAGAGAACTTTTCGCCAAGAACAGTCATCATTATTTTGAATTATACAGGTTAAATTTTAAATAAAAAAGTTTATTTGTTTTACAATCACGTTTGTTAATACAAAAATTATTACTTCAACCATTGATATAACAGATTCAAAGGCATAGGCGTAACTGGGGGGTCGGTTAAGGGGATTAGCCCCCATAAATATTCCA